AAAAAAAAAAAAAAAGACAAGATGTTAGCCAGAAACTGACTGTTCATGAAAATATATCACCTCCGTAGACGTATCCAAGGACAAACCGGCTGTTCCAGAATGTAAGTGTCACAAATCAGCGAAGAATGAACCATGCACTGACTTTGAACCCAAGAAACGCAGATGTTCGGTGCCCAGATCCACATCAGCTAACATGCCAACGCACTGCGAAATGAAAGACAAAGTCTTCTTTTCGCCTTGTGTTACTGAGCACAAGTCGATACGCATAGGACGACCTGCATGAGTCACCATATTGAGATGACACCATCTTATCGTAATGGACTAAAGAAATTGCAAACCTTTCACAGCATTGAGGGCAGCTGCACATATATCGCAGCCCTCCTGAAATCAACGTGAATGTCTAGACGGACCGACTGAAAACATGCCTCCAACCTTGGGACCTAAGATGTTCAACGCTAGAGCGTTTCCCGAACCACCGGCAACGGGTGTAATTGGGAGACGAAATGCCTCTTCTGGTCGAGCATGCTCCGCAAAACCGTTGATAATCTCATGGACGAGGCCATCTCCGGACACTACGACGATAGCATCGTACTGCCCAAGATCTAATGTCTTCATGAGTTCATATGCATGTCCGTGATGGGTGGTGACTAATGCAGGTGTCAGTAGGCTGACGGCTGGGGACCACGAAGAAGACATACGTGTGAGTTCCACATGACAATGGGCAGCGCGGAATATGGGTTCAACCTTTCTGTGGTAGAGCCCGATACCATTCCCCTGGATGAGATATGTATGAGACACGTGGTGGACGAGTAAGACGATGAAACTTACTGGACCGCTCTTTGGGTTCACGAGGACTCGAAGCCTCCTTTGGCGCCTTATTCCTGGAAAGCGAGTTGGAGCGAACATGATCGGGGCGGCATATATAGGCGAGACGCGGCTTACCAGCATAAGCAACATCCATCAATGATGTAGTGAATGCGGTGGCTATCTCGAGTTGGTCAGACTTGACGGTGCCAGCGACGAGCACGAGCGAGAGCGGGTGTGAGTTCTTCCGCCTTGCGACGAGGGCGATCTCGAAGAGGTTCTCTTTGACCTCGGCCCACAAGACATGTCTCACGGTTGTTTCTATGCGCGGCCATTTCTCTGTGGGGCCCCCGTGAGGAGATACGCGCACGGGGGGTGAATGGAACTCACTATCGGAGGCGCGGTGGACGACGAGGGTTGGGCCTGAGAGGGTGAAGATGGTTGTGCCGTGCTCGCCGTGGACGGTGAGCGAGTCTGTGTGGTCTGCCATGGAGGTGAGAGGCAGGCTTGGGAGCGTTGACGCCTGCGGGGCCGGCAGTAGAGCCAAGACGGCCGCGACGGCCGGATCCGATGATGCAGCCCGAGCGTAATTCAAGGATTTTGTTATGTGCATCAGTGGATATGCTATCTATCTTATCTGATAATTCATTTCGTTATCTTTCGGTGCCTGCGACGACTCTCCTCCGAGCCGGCCTTCGGAGTCCCGCTGATGAGCCAGTGACTGCCAGTGTGTACCGTACCATGACTCGTCCTCCTTCCCTCATCTTCATCCTCAGGCGTACTCTCAAACCCCTCTCTCCTCCTGCTCATACAAGCGCGAATTTTATCAGATCAATGGCCACCGTCCACCAGCTCGCACAGCAGGGCTTCGGCACCGGCACCAACGAGCTCTACGACCGGTGCGTGCTCGCATACAGACTCGGGACGCGTGCTCATCGTCCATATCGCCAGTGCACGCCCTTCCTACCAGCCTGCCGTGCTCTCGCACGTACGCAGCGCGACCCGGGGCACCTCCCCGCTCAACGTGGTAGAGTGCGCGAGCCTGTCATCTCACCCGGAACGCCCGTCGGGCTGAGTTCGTCCACAGGATCGGTTCTGGCACGGGCATCTTCACGCGTGCGCTCCTCGCACACCCCGATTGGTCATCCTCTATCAATCAGCTCAAAGCCGTCGAGCCGAGCGAAGGCATGCGCAGCGTCTTTACCCAGACGGTCAAAGACGACCGCGTCTCTACTGCCGAGGGCACGTTCGACGCGACCGGGGTCGAGGACGGCTGGGCCGACATCGTCATCATCGCCCAGGTGCGATGCCGACGATGTCTTCCATCTTTCTCTGCCTGGTTCTCACCTTGCCCTGCAGGCATATCACTGGTGTCCTGACTACGACGCAGCCAGCGCCGAGTTTGCTCGTATCTTGAAGCCGAACGGCGTCGTTGCCTTTGTTTGGAATTTGGAGGACAGGTTCGTCTCTGTGTGAACCAGGGCTCGCGCTCTGCTGACATGCCCGTCCCGCCGCAGAGACGGTGCGGAATGGGTGGCTCAGTTGCGCGACCGCATCGAATCCGAGGAAAAGGGCACGCCCCAGTTCCGTCTCATGCTCTGGCGCGCGACGTTCTCCACCCCGTCGTACACCAAGTTCTTCGATCCGCCCGAGGAGAATGAATGGAAGTACGCACTCCCAGGAACGCGTGAAATCGTAACGGATCGCGCGCTCAGCAAGAGCTATATCGCTGTGCTTTCCCCTGACAAGAAGGCGCTTGTCGTGGAGGACATCGCAAAGATCCTTGATAACAAGGGCGGCCTCAAGTGGATGGATGAGGAAAAGGGTATCTTTGAATATCCTTACGGTACCGTGGTTGTGCTTTGCAGGAAGAAATGAACGGTATTGCGCTAGTCACAAAGCAGATCTAATGTCAACGTACCCTCGAACATTCAGTGCACACATGTACTTTCAAATTGGATAGACTCAGCGAATAGTAAAGTTCCGACTGATACAGTAAGCTTGTTAAGTAAATCGGAACATTTCTAGGAAGCGATGTAAATTGTCAAGAATCCAGTATGGCTGCAAAACTGTCCAATAATCCTATAACCCCAATGGTACAGTGAGCGAGTGTCGTAGCGACTAATCGTAAACATGTCTGGTACACACAAAGTCCCATGTTCTACTAAAGATACCACTGATGTACTACTATATAAGTCCATTTGCAGATAGGTCAAATCTAATATGAATTCGTATGAAAGTCGTGATCATGGCCGGGCTGCAAATACGCCCGTCAATTCTTATACAATGCAATAGCAGGTCCACAAATTAGACTCACAGAGTTGCTCTTTACGGTAGAACCAGAAGTACCCAACAACAATGGCGATCTGGCACACAAGAGCAATCCAGAACGGTGCTGATGCCATTGGGCTCCCTAAAGAAACGAGGAACAAATCAGACGCCGCCAGATGAACGTGCTCGTATCAAGAATCACCTTTCAGTCCGTCGGAGAAACTCCATGCGGCGGCGTCAGGGAATACGCTCTCTGGACCAATTGTATCGGGGGCAGTAGCACGGGCTACTATTACGCAGACCGATCCTATGATCTGTGCGAATGCAAGCGTAGCGCATACATGCAGTCGCGAAAGTGTCTGGACAAGACATAAAGACCCGTTCTAGTGACGAAAACAGCACACTTACCTGCAAAAGAATCATCCCAAGCCCCACACCTTGGATGGCATCCAAAACACCGAGCCACAACCAGAGGGAGACACCCAAGTACGGTCCAGCGTTGCCAGCCCATGGTATGTACAGAGCGAGCGAAGATGTACCCCACATCATCTGGCAAATGTCAGCACAAACTTAATGGCAGATTTGGAGTCAACGTACTTGACACCATCGCGGTGCTCCCAGACCAACTGCAAAAACAGGAAGCAGCCATGTATGTGTCTTGCTCAGGCGAGTCAATCCTAACATCAAGAGACCCCAAACGCCAATAAAGAATGCCACAACCAAGAGGAGAATTTGCCACTTGGGGATGTCGACGTTCCACAGGAAAGTCCAGTTGCGTCCGTAAGGCTAATATTAGGAAAACGCACTGATCAATACGATCAAATTCACAGCCGGAGAGAAATAGTACTGACACCACTGAGCCAGTAATCTCGTAGAATCTCAGAGCCGAGGAACCTAGCAAACAAAAGGTCAGCTGGCTCCAGGGATGACATGCGTGAGCGTACCAAAGAACGATCTTGCGGCGAAACAGCGTCTTGAGGAAGTGAGGGACCTTTGGCGGCGTCTGACGGTAATAATCTACAAATGTGTAAAATTAAGCATATGTATGCTATTAATTTCCGTCGTTGGATACCATACTCACCCGGCAAGCCGTACAACATGAGGTACGCAAATATCACGCTCATTACAGCTAGCGGCCAGACGATGAGAACGATCCACCAAGGTGCCATGTTGCCTGCAGGTGCGTCGTCAAGTGTATATCCCCAGTACCAGAGGGCTGCAACCCAAATCTGTTGTGATCCTTGTACGATACAAGCCCTCATGATCCAAGTATCCGTGGCTGCTCCCTATCAGACAACAGTAAATCAGGGTATAATCAGGTGTGAACAACCAGACATACCGCTTCCTCTCCGAAGTTAAGACCAAAGAAGAGGAATGCCGCTGCAGAGGCCACTGCATACGACCAAGTAGCTGCACTTGACAGGGCATAATGAGTCGAGTAGAGGGAAGGGGTCACTGAGGGCAAGCCAATCAAGAAGAAAGCAACACCGAAGAACAGCCATGGCGCAGATAGCACGTAGACGGAGGGTTTTAGGCGGAACAGCGGATACCAAACGGCGGATGCGGCAAGGAAAATTCCTCCCAACACATATAGCTGTAGATTTGACTGTGTATTTGCGCCAGAAAGCAGCGTGAGCTGGAAAGTCGTCGCGCTCAACATCTGCACACCGCGTGAACGTACGAACTGGAAAAAATAATAAGAACACAAACCTGCCCTATGCCAATAACAATACCATATAATGGCCAGCCAAAGATCTCCCTCGACATCGCGATTTGCAAGCTGCTCATGATGACAACGTCCTTCTCGTTGGGGGGTCCACCGTAGTCACTCATTGGAATAGCATCCGCCCCAAGGAAATGATTTAGTGCTAGAGAGAAAATATCAGTGAAATAAACCCTAACATATCGCACATACGCACATGGAGGACGAGAGTATTCAAACGAAGATGGCGCAGGTGTGCCCCATATTGATTCTCTTCGCGATGACCTGATACTAGCTGCACTAGACAATCGCTCCCTTTTTACCTTGTCGAAGAACGCTTCTTCACTTTTTGTCAGGAATTTCTCGATCGACAGTTCTCCCTTAGAATTGTGCGAGTTCAACATTTGAAGCTTCTGCACGAACTCTTGCGCGACTCCTCCATCGGCATCCGTGAACTGTTTTATTTATCATCCACGTCGTTCAAACCTCACACAGAAGGAATTATGACTCACTGAAGCAATTGCTTTGTTCAATGGAGAGTTGTACTTTTCATCAACGATCGAAGCAATAGATTCAATAGAAGATATGCGCGAATGAGAACCAAATGGTTTACTCGATGAAGGGTCAAGGAAGGGATCCGGGACATTTCGCTGGTCTTGAGCAATGGTGCGGTTGGCCCGTTCAAGGAAGTTGCCAAAGTCCGGACCTGAATCGTGGCTACTTGGCTGGTGGGCGTTGGAGAAGTAATCGCTGTCATTTTCTGATAAGTCAGTGGCGTATGAGACTCTCCGACTTTCTTGAATGAGGCGCGGACGCATGGCCATAGAGCCATCGGGACCTAATGTCAACGTTTCTTGACTCCACCGCCCCGGAGATCCAGGCGTGCCTGGTGTGCCTGCCCCAGGGCTACCATTGACACTTCGAATTTCCCAGTCAGGCTGGGAGGGGAATGCCACATGACCTGGCTCCCAGTCGTCCGCTTCAGCAACCGCTATGCCGCTTTCGCCAACGAGAGCATCGGCTGAACGCCAGGCATTCGGTCCCGCCACGTCGCGGCTCATATTGATACTGCGCCGGTGGAAGTCTTCCATACGCTGACGCCACTCTACGACGGGGAAACGCTGGACAGCAGAGCGTGCCCGTAGCATTGCCCTTTCTTCTTGCGAGGATTTCAGTGCCATCTTAATCGTCTTGGTGAGTTGAGACATCATGTGTTCAGTTGATGTAGACTCCACCGGGAACCACTAGAATACAATCAAGTGTCAAAACTAGTATCATCAAACCCGAAAAATTGACCTACCCAACCAGGCATCAACCCAAGGCCTCCCAACCGACTGCCCACACCCAGAGCGCCTTTCCGACCAAATTCGACAGCTACTAAACCGAAAGGCTCATCTCGAGAGGGAATCAGGGCAAAGTCTGCACCACTGAACAAGTAGGGGGGCAAAGCCGTGAACTCAGGCTTCGAAAATACCCGATCGGGGTAGAGCTCCATGAGGCGAGCCAATTTCTCTGCCGCAAAACGACCATACAAGTCGATAACAGGACCAACAGTGATGAGCTGAATAGACGACCGCTTCTCAAGTCTAAAGAACTAGTGAGTTTCACAAATGAGCGAGATGAGGACCACTCACAGCGAGGGCATGACATCAGCTATCAAGTCAACACCTTTCTGCTTCGACCAACGACCGACGAAAACGAAGAGATCAGCATTGGGATCCTGCTTGATCCCCGCCCATTCCTGTGCTTGCCGTTTGTGTTCAGGCCGCTCCGCCTCGGCTACTTGGTCGATCTGGACGCTTTTCACATCAACTGGATTTTCATCCAATGCTGCAATGTCGGTAGGATCGGGATTAGGTAACGAATCAACGTGTTTGAGTGTCCACAAGGCAGGGTAGCGAGCCCAACTGCGCTTGCCATACTTGTCCGATACACCGGCAACTCCGACGCTCTTCTGATGCACAGAAATAAAAGATGCTGCAGCATGTAGCAGATTGAACGTGTTTCCAAACTGCACGTACTTCGTGCAATGCTCCTTGCTGATGTTGAAGGCGGAACACACTTCTTTCATCTCCTCCTTGGTGCGGAGAGGCCAGAGACCTTGGAACTCCGCATTATGCAGTGAGAGACAGATTGGCAGTACTTTGGGCAGCAGGTAGATGGGAACAAGTGCGCCGTGGTAATCGTTGATGTGGTAAATATCTATGTCAGGGTATCTGCGGACCGTAGCGGCGATCGCTTGGTTCCAGGTGGAGTAGAATATCGCTGAGCTGAGATCGTCCATGCGAGCCGGATACGGGTCGGCTTTTGTTTGTGCTCGGAAGACCGGACTGTCGAGGATCACGTAGGTGATGTTGTCCAAAACGTGCGTCTCCACTTCAATCAGGTATGGCTCGCCGAAAATGACGACCTCAATTGGTTCGCAAGGTTCACCGGGAGGATACTCCAGATCTTTGACCTTGGGAACGACCCAAATCAAATCGACATCGGTCATAGCCTTGCCCATTAAACTTGACATGACACCCAAACCACCAATTTTGACTTTCAGCTTCCAGTCGATGATCTCGTACTCGAGCGTGGAAATTAAAACCTTGCGACGCTTGTTCTTGTCCTCGGGCCAGCCGATGATATCGGCATGGTGCTTGGGGCCAAACACCTTCTCCGACAGCGGTGTATGCGCCTCATGTATGCTTGCCTTTGATTTGCTCCCGAACGTGCCAACAATAGGGAAGTAGTTGTGGTCCTTGTTCGGTTTCACACCCCACTTGTTGTACTTGATACCGTAGAACGACCACATGAAGACTGCCACAGCGATGGCACCGGTTATGAAAGGGATGGCTAAGAGCAGCGCGAAGAAGATGGCTCCAACGGCGGACTGGCCGACTGGTTCGACCCACCATGTTAGCGTGGCATCATCAACCACGAGGTTCCACGCAAGATGGGGGCGAGGAGGGGCGGACATATTGAGGTAGTTGGGCGATAACGTGTTGGGTGGAAGACGATCCAGGACACCGTCACCATCGACATCACCATAGAAGTAGTTGTCAAACCCAAAGACGCACAGCTGCACGTACGACGGCCATGTCGCCATGATCTCGAGCTCCCAAAGTCCATTGCTATTCTGGGACATCGCATATGGCAAACCCTTGTCAATTCCCCACTGATTGTATATTCCGCGAACTAAGAACTGTGGGACGCGGCGAGGAATAGAGTAATCATGGTCGGCGTGGATGACAACACTCGATGTCTGGGCGAGATAGCTCCAATCTACCAATTATATGAGTAAACAACATGAAGCTCCACAATGGACAAAGGCTTACATTGAACCATGAGATGCTGTCCCTCCCACCAGTTGTCCGAGGTGTCGAAAACATCGGCCGGGATCGTGGTCACATCCTCCCATGACCGCCAGTCCGACCAATTCTGCGCAAAATTCCATGAATAGCGGAACATATCAGCACCGTACGCCTTGTGAGTGTAGGAGTATTGGCCATTGCTGTACTGGAAACCGTCTGTATCGTAGTTATATGTCGGGAATACCATAATGTTGTTTGGTTGCCCTTTGCGGACAAGAAGATGGTCGATACTCTGGAGAATGATATGAGCCTCCCATATTCAAATTCGGTGAAATGAAAGGCTCACGTTGGTGCTTGCAGATCCGTCGCTCGTACTGGGATTCTTAACCACTATCTCCATTATCCCATCAGGAACGTCTTGTATTGTAGCCGACCAGGCCCAAGTAGAGAGGGAGACGCCTTGTACCTGAGCCGGCTGCGGTTCCGTGACAGCATTGCATTGGACGGTGGACTTGTCGATTGTGGGAGTTGTAATGTTGCCAGCAGACGACATATTGAGTGTAATGGCCTCTGTGACGCCATTGCAGTCCATTTCAAGGTTAAACTCTAATGTGATATTAATGGTCATGTTGTTCGGGTTTGAGGTGATCCGCGCATCGTGCCCAGGCAAAAACCGGGTGATGGCAGGTGGAGGTGGCACCCACTGATCCACAGGAACAAGTACCTTGAATCCGTACGGGGGCAAGGTGATATTACCCAGACAACCATAATAAGGCCCAGTACCGTTGTTGTAGTACGGCGAACCTGACTGTTCCAGAACATACGTCTCATATGGATGAAACAAGCTCCTGACTGTCATTCCAGACTCGTACGGGGAGGAAATCCACAGCGACTTCATGCAATCATGGCTCCACGTCGTGGTTATGTTGTTATTGGCATAAAGGAGCCAAACTTGCCCGGTGTTATTACCGGTCAGCGTCTGATATCCCTCGATTGCGGAACGAGAGACAGACCAGAGTCCCATCTCAGTGAGAGTACCGTTAGAGCCTGGACGCGCAATATCATACGTCCAGTTGCCACGCTGAACAAGGTTAAAACCATCTTGAAGTGCAGCATAAACAGTTCGTAAGTAGAGGAACTGTGAGAATAATCGGCGTGTGTCTGATGTAGGATCGAAATGATCGAGGGAATTCCAGTCGTCCTTGCATGCGATAAGTGCGCGACCCATGGGAATGTTATAATACTGCGACGACCCGAGCGAGTAACATCCATGGCGTTGCCATGCCGTATTGCTGAACATTGCTTGACGGCTGAAAGTTATCAGATCATGCGGACGATGAGATCAGGTGTAATCAATCTGAAACGTAGATGGACTCACCCGTAAAGATAGTTCGAAGCCGTGTTGTCATAGATATAAAAGTTCTGCTCCTCGCCGTAATACATCTGCATAATCACGATCAACGATCAACGGACGCATAGCAAAACCCGGGGATCAACGCACCAGAGAGATCCCAGGCATCACCAGATATGCCATGAACGCTCCAAGGACACTACGTTCCGTGCCGTTGTCCAGAGTGGGCCAGCGGAAAACATCGAAATTGCTCGTGCCGTACAAATGACGTGGATCAACTAACCCAGTGTTTGGGTTAATCATATCTTCATTTACGAACATCTCGTTCCAAGCCGTGACAAAGTTGTTAGACACATCGTATGCGTCCTCTAAATCGCCATCCATACCAAGGAAACGGGTCAGACCGCGGTAGATCGAATAGTGGAATGCTGCGCCATCCAACCCGTCCTGCGAAATATCGCGCAAAAAATACTGGTCTTCGGACTGGGTTACATTGGCCGCTTGCAAAAATCCCGGGGGGCGCTCAGTTGGTGTACGACCACGGCCACTGTCAGTTACATGAGCAATGCAGATAATCCAATTAAACTGGACACACGCACTAATAAAGCGACCCAAAGTAGTCACCACCGGTGACCTCACCAGTAATCAGAAAGTTTTTCTTGCCCAGTTCAATGGCACACTGGCGGGTGGTGGACGTCCAATCGACAAGACCTTGCACTGTCATCTGTGTGGACTTGTCGATACGAATAGCGTCGAAATCTAGAGCCGTCAGAGCCATGCACGAGAACTTGGTAAGCTTCGCCATGACGTCCGGCCTCCACTCCCTGAGACGATCCTGCACTGACGCGAACTTTGAGAGCTGACGCTGCCAATCTGGATGCACACCGAACGCCTCCATGTCCCCATACTGGTCAAACTCAGAGGCATAACAACCACCATTCCAACCTATGTCCACGATCGTACCGGCATCGCCCCAAAAAACGGGCATCTCGCAGGAGGTGTTGTACGTATTGTTGAACTAGCAATCCAATTTCAGCATCTGAACCACTAAAGTTGGCCGCATCACAAACCTGGAAATCGGCATATGTCTCGAACCCCCATGGTTGATATTGCGGATCGAGCCACGCTGCATCATACTCCTGGATGTTGAATGGGGCGGAGACATTCTCGAAACTAAAATAGGTCAGCCGGCACCGACGAATGAAGTCGGATTGGTACATACCCTTTGAAGCCGACAATATTCGACATTGTTCCGACGGTAAAATCAAGCATGATATACATGCCGCGGCTGTGAATCTCGTCGATAGCATTCTGCCAATCCTGAAGGGTACCATAGTGTGGATCTATGACGGAGAAGTCGAGCGGGGAGTAGCCTGGACGGGGCAGCGATCAAAGGACAGCATCAGATGATAATGGAGAGGCGCTCACTATCTGCCTCCCAGATCATGTTCAACCAAGGCGTACCAGATGTGTAGATGGCCTTGACACCCATTCCTTGGAGGTAATCGAGTCTGGCCAACATGCCCTTTAGATCGCCACCGGCTCGCAACTGAGTCTCCCGCCAATCCCACTCGTAAACACTACCAAAGAAATCATTGTTCGTAGGGTCTCCGTCGGCAAACTTGTCGAGAAGGATGGTGTAGAAGGGAAGGGCGCGCCAATTGTCGGGGGATGGTGTGTAATTGGCGCGTTGGGGGTAATAGTAGTCGAGGACGTTTGTGGCCGTCTTGTTGGTATTGACATTGTACGCCACAAGATCTTCCCTGTATGGCGAGGCAAATACGAGGGGAGCGAGGGAGAGAAGTGATCCCAGGGCGGCCAGGGCCCACATGGCGAGCTAGACAGATGGCCAGTGATTAGAGTAGAGAATTGACGGCTGAGGGACGAAAAGAGAGTCCAGGAGCGAGGGAGGGGAGGGGGCAAGGAGCGAGTGGGCAGTGCCCTGGGAGGTAAAAAGGGAGGAGGGCAGGAGGAGAGGAGAAGCGAGAGTGGTTGGACGCGAAGGGCGAGGATGGTTAAGCCGCCTCGTATTCTTTCTCTCACCGGGGGCGTGTCGCCGATATCGGCATGGCCAGGTGTCTGCCACCCCGTCGCCGGCACTAGCGCCG